GCAGCAGGCAGCTCCCCAACGAGGGATGGGCTATGCCGCCGAAGGGGAAAACTAGTGATGGTGCTGGGAGTAATGACAAAAAGTCCAGACAATCTGAAAAAAGAGATAGATCTGACAATGGAAGTGGAAGTGAGAGTGACGAGTCCCAAAGCACAAGGAAAATGCCAAGATCTGAAGAGGAGGGTGAATTTAGGATGATAGTTAAATTCAAAGATAAAAGTGACAAAGCCTTAAACCCACTCAGACTATCGGAGGAGCTAAAAAACAAAATGGGAAAAGTTCTAAATGTGAAAATGATGATGAATGGGAATATACTTGTTTTTTGCAGAAATGATAATCAGAGGTTGAATGCCCTTAAAGTTCGGCATTTGCTTAACAGGCCTGTTGAATGTTTCGTTCCTGGTCAGGCTAAAAATGCTAAAGGAGTGATCTATGTAAGCCTTGAGATAGAAGAGAGTGACATCTTGAAGAATTTAAAGGGAGCTGAGGTTGTAGCTGTACGGAGATTCAAAGAAACCGGTAATGCTGTGCTATTAACATTCAAGCAAGATATTGTGCCAGCAAGGGTTAGCCTTGGATATATTAGCTTGCCAGTGAGACAGTATATTCGTCCCCCACTGCGTTGTTACAATTGTCAACGCTATGGCCATGTAGCAGCAGCATGCGGAGGGAAAAAAAGATGTGGGAAGTGTGGAGGAAGCCATGACTTTATTCAATGTAAAGCTGATATAGTCAAGTGCTGTAACTGTGGCGGAAATCATGTATCTTCATTTAGGGGGTGTGAGCATCATGTTAGAGCTGTGGGAGTAGAGAAATTGAGAGTTGAAGGCAAAATATCATATGCAGATGCCCTGAAGAAAGTGAGGGGAACGGGGGAACCTTCCAGACAAGTGGTAGTTGAAGTGCCTTCTGATTCCCAGCCTGATAGGGAGAAAGTGAGGCAGATTGTGGGAACCCAGTCATTCCTGGCATTCATGGTAGATGTTCTGTGGGCAGTTAGAGACCAAACCAGAAGATCTGACGTTATTAAAGTGGTGGTGGATGCTGCAGAGAGATTTCTGGAAGAGGCATGTATGGGTCCAGAAGAGTTGCACAAGTATATGAGACAGAAACTGGAAGTTTACGAAAGAGGTAGGGGAAAACAAAAGATCACTGACAGTAATGAGGAATGTACTGGGGGAAGAAACATGGACATAAATGATGATAGGTAAATTGCTGATGTTTTACATCTTACAATGGAATGCACGGAGTTTGATGGCTAATGGACAGGAACTTAAGAGATTTGTTGATGAATTTAAGGATCTACCAGAGGTGATATGTATTCAGAAACTTGGCTTAAACCATGCTTAGATTTTGTGATTCCTGGATATGAAAGTAACAGATATGATAGAAAAGGAAAGTCTGGGGGAGGGTGTGCAACATTTATAAGATCAGATGTACAGTATCAAAATGTAGAGATAATGTCTAAACTAGAATGTGTTATAGTAAGAGTCTGGGGACAGCACAGGTGGATTAACATAATAAACATGTATAATCCTTGTTTGCAAATAAATCTAAGCGAGTTGGAGTGGGTTATGGAACAAATAGGGACACCGGTCATTTGGGTGGGGGATTTTAACTCTCACAACCCTCTTTGGGGTAGCAGAATAAAAGATAATAATGGGAGCACTATAGAGGAATTTATGGACAGGTGGAGATTAGTTTGTTTAAATGATGGCAGGCCAACTAGATTTGATATTAGAACAGGAAATGTTTCATATATAGATTTGGCATTAGCGTCCAGTGAACTAGCTAGGGTTGGAGAGTGGGATTCTTTGGACAGATATACAATAGGGAGTGATCATTACCCAATATTATTGAGGTTTGGGAAAACTTTATTGAGTGAAGAACAGGGTAACCAAAACTTATTTAATTATAGTAAGGCAGATTGGGCACTTTTTTCTGAAAAGTGTAACAAAACTATAGAGGAAGTAAATGAGGAAGGGACAATAGAGGAATGGAATAGCAGCTTATGTGAAATAATTATGAAAAGTGCAGTTGAATCTATCCCGATAAAGAAGTGTTCTAAAAGGAAAATTAGTGTGCCATGGTGGAACAAGGACTGTGATAAAGCAGTAAGAGACAGGAATTGCGGGTATAGAGCATTGAGGAAACATCCAACAGAAGATAAAGCAGTAGAATATAAAAGACTGCGAGCCAAAGCACGCAGAGTGATTAAGACTGCAAAAAAAGAGTGCTGGAGAAAATACTGTGGAAAACTAGGGGCAGAGACTGCAGTAACAGAAATATGGCGGGCAGTACATCGTATGGCAGGAAGTAATAGGAAAAGGAAAATGCCAGTTTTAGAGGAGGGAGGATTGTTTGCTACAAGTGATTTGGATAAAGCAAAGCTATGTGAAAATAGCTTTAGAGCTGTTCACAGTGGAGCTAACATTGGTGAAGCAGGTATAAGGAAAAGAAATGAGATATTAGAGCAAAATCGATACAAACTTGAGATAAATAATGATAATTCTGATGTGGGTAATTTATTTTTCTCATTAGAAGAATTGCACAGGGCAATTGGAAAAGGAAGGAAAACAGCCCCGGGAAAGGATGGTGTTAGCTATGAGATTGTTAAGAATCTTAGTGACAAAGTTTTGGAGGAAATCTTGGCCTTAATGAATCACATATGGCAAGAGGGAAGTCTACCTAGCACATGGAAGCATGCACTGGTGGTTCCAATATTGAAACCAGGGAAAGACGCTTATAAGGCAGGATCATACAGGCCCATTGCACTGACATCAGTCCTATGTAAAATAATGGAAAGGATGGTTACAGACAGATTGGTTTATAAGTTAGAGAAGAAGGGATGGTTTACATCAGTACAAAGTGGATTCCGTAGAGGGAGAAGTACCATGGATGCCGTTACGTCCCTTGACAGTGATATAAAGAAAGCAATGGTGAATAGAGAAGTATTAATGGCGGTGTTTATTGATATTGAAAAGGCGTATGACATGCTATGGAAGGAGGGGCTTGTCATAAAACTATATGAGGCTGGAGTCAGAGGGAGGATGATTAACTGGATACAAGACTTCTTGAAGGACAGGAGAATTCAAGTTAGGGTTGCAAATGCTTTATCAGCTGGAACAGGTATCGATAACGGAACTCCTCAGGGTAGCGTGATAAGCCCAGTCCTTTTCAATATTATGATAAATGATATATTTGAAGAAATTGGGAATAGTTTTGGAAAATCTCTATTTGCTGATGATGGGGCCATCTGGAAAAGGGGCAGGAATGTCAAACAAATAACTGAGCAAATGCAAGTAGCTCTGAACAAAGTAACTAGTTGGGGTGAAAAGTGGGGGTTGAGGATATCAGTGGAGAAATCAAAGTATATAATATTTGGTAATAAGAAAACTGAATGTGGTGGTTTATTTTTGTATGAACAAGCAATTGAGAGGGTTAAAGAGTTCAAATTTTTGGGTGTGCATTTGGATGAGAAGCTAACATGGAAAAAGCAGATAGATAATGTTGTAAATAAGTGTGAAAAGGTAATAAATGTAATGCGTTCCCTCTCAGGTAGCACATGGGGTGCAGGCAGAGATACTCAACTAATGATCTACAGGGCAATGATAAGATCTAGGTTGGATTATGGATGTGTGTGTTATGGGACAGCCGCTGATACACATTTAAAGAGGCTGGAAGTAATACAAGCTAAGGCACTGAGACTATGTTGCGGGGCCCTCCGTACAACTCCAGTCCCAGCTTTGTTGGTAGAGATGGGGGAAATGCCATTGTCAATTAGACGGGAGAAATTGGCAATGCAGTATATTGTTAAATTATGGGCACATAAAGGAGAACACCCTACAAAAATAGTTCTAAGTAATGCGTGGGAGTGGGGATCAGGGAAAAGGAGGAAGGAATGTTTTATGTTTAACATCAGGAAAAAAATTGAGGAACTGGGACTGAAGGAGGAAGGGATGGCCCCGCAAGTGTACTGGTCAGTTGTACCACCGTGGTTGATGTCCATACCAGAAATAGATCTTAGTATAATGGATAACATCAAACATCATGAAGGCACAGAGTATCCCAATATGGTAAAGCGAAGACTGGAAAATCAGTGGGGAACTTACCTTCAGATATATACAGATGGATCCCAAGATCCACAAACTGGGAAGTCAGGCTTTGCTTTTTATATCCCACAATATGAATATGTAAAGCTTAAACGACTGTCTGAGGGGGTATCGGTGTATACAACAGAACTCTAGCTATTATATGGGCACTAAAGTGGATAGAGGAAGTGCAACCAAGGAGAGCAGTAATATGCTCAGATTCGGCTTCAGTGTTAAAAACTCTGGGAGGAAGTAATATGGGAGCTCGGCCAGATCTGTTTATGGAGCTGATGGTTCTGTTGTATAAAATCGAAAAGGCTGGAGGGTCAGTGGGATTTCTCTGGGTCCCTGCACATGTTGGGGTAGAAGGGAATGAGGTGGCAGACAAGGTAGCAAAAATGACTCTGAAAAGAGATATTGATTTAGAAGTTTGTATTGGGGTCACCGAATGTAGATCTGTCATTAAGGAAAACACTATAGTAGTATGGCAGAGGCAGTGGGAAAAGGAAACAAAGGGCCGGCATTATTATGCAATACAAAACAAAGTAAAGACAGAGCAGAGTTGCTTGGGTAAATCCAGAAGACAAGCTGTAATTATGACAAGACTAAGGCTGGGACACTGTGGATTTGCATGGGATCTAGCGAAGATAGGCAAACATGAGGATGGGCTCTGTAGAACCTGCAATCAACAACAGACTGTTAATCATGTGTTTATGGAATGTCAACAGTATAAAAGGCAAAGAGAACAACTGTATTCTGAGGTAGCAGGAGATGGACTACAAGCAGTGACATTGAGAGATATTTTGAATCCTCATGAGAACCAATCAAGGATAGTGGAAGCAGTCATGGATTTTATATCTGCAACAGGATTAGCCCTCTGAGAATGAAGGTGCTATAAAGCGATACCGAGACTGAACTGTGGGTGGCAGCAATATGCCGTAAGGCATCTAGTCTGCCGGAAAGCCAGTAGAAGAAGAAGAAGAAGAAATAGCTCAGTCGCTGCGTGCTTGTGACGATGGCGGCCGCCATGAGAGGAAGCTTTGTAACATTGGTCAAGGTGAGTGAAAAGATGACGCTTACAAGCTTATTTTATACAAAGGAAAGGCGCTACTGTGGTTGAAGTTGTATTTCTGTTCAGCCAAAGCATAAACCGTCTTTCTTGTGTCTTGTCGCTTAGTTAACCATGAGCCCAGCCCCCGTAGTTAGCCTTCAGGTCAACGGTAGTGATAAAGTGCTTTTGTTGCGCCATCTGGTTTTATCAGCTGGTCGACCAGGAAGAAATCTTATAGATTTGCCTACTCGTCAAATAAGTAAGCGGCCACGTAGTTTAGGTTAGACTTGTGTCTTCTTGGGTAACGTTATGTGAGATAATTAGCTAAAGTAGCTAGCTACCCTAGAAACCCAGACATGGGAACCTCTTTCCTAGAGAGGCTTCAGTTACCCTTACACACATAACAACGACACTGTCTTGAAAACAACATATGGCCTCGTCAGATAATATACAGTATGTTTGATTTGATAACTTTGTGTCATCTTCAGTTTTTCTCTCTTACCCGATTATTCAATGTCAGTGGGAGTCACTCGTGCGTTTGTGCTCAAATAGTCTCTTGATGGCAGTTGAAGTCAACTAGTCGTGTTATGTTTTCCTGTAAGTCTCATTTTGACCACTGGTCAGTGGCTGGTGATCATTCAGGGTCCTCTTGAAACAACACACCCATCCCATTTAATCAAATGGGCACAATAGATATGATTTTACATGGGGGGGGTAAAAAAAGTTAATTGATTTAGCTGGTTTGTCTATAAAATGTTTGAAGATGCCCATCACAGTTTCACAGAGCCACATGGACCATCTCCCAATGTCTTAATCTGTCTGAAAAACCCCAAACTTTTGAGTCCTGATGATAATATAAAACAGAGAAAAGCAAGAAACCCTCACACTGGAAAAGGTGGAACAAGCATAAGTTGGAGATGAAAAATGAGAGGATTTTATTTTTTTTTCTTCAGGATTTTATTTTTGAGCTACTACATAGTCACAGGAAAGACTTCATTCATTTCTGACTTAAACAATGAATGGTGTTTGAAATTGTATACAATAAATTTTCTGTTGAACAAATAATTTATTAATCAACTAATCTTGTCAGCTGAGATCCTGGATAGTTTTACCTCTCCTGGCCTCTTAAATTGAACAGAGACAAGGGAACGTCATTGGAATTGCTCTCATCTCATAGACATATGCAAACTAAGTAGAAGGGTCACACAGCCACTGCTTTGTCGTAAATGGTCACAAGCCAAACATGTTGGGAATCATCATTATAGCCAGTGTTATTAAAGGGATAGCTACTACTATAGGGGAAAAGATGCTCGTTTTATATTGTGCTTGTTGTGACTGTGTCTTCTTTACCATCCTCAGGGGCTGAGCGGCCCCCGGTGGCAGCAGCTGGTGTCTCGACCATTGAGTGTGTCTGCTGGTCTCCGTTGCCCAGAACCCCCGCCGGCCCGCGCTGATGCTACCTTCAAGGTCACAATGGTGCCAGGGGATGGAGTGGGACCTGAGCTGATGACCGCTGTCAAGGAAGTGTTCAAGGTATTTTTCCTGTTATATGTGGTGCCATGAGTAGAAGAAAATACATATGCGTGTGTATAATGATGATGATGATCTTTATTTATAGAGCACTTTTAAAAAACAAGTTACAAAGTGCTTTAACAAGTGCAAATGCAATAAAATACATAGCAAAAAAAAAACAACCTAGAAAACACTTAAGAGACTAAAATGCATGCTAAAAATAAATAAAATCGGGAAAGGCTCTCCTATAAAAGTATGTTTTAAGAAGGGACTTAAAAGAGTTCACTGACTCAGCCGACCTGATTTCCTCGGGCAGGCTGTTCCAGAGCCTCGGGGCCCTGACAGCAAACGCTCTGTCCCCTTTAGTTTTCAGTCGAGACTCTGGAACAGACAACAGACCTCTGCCCGAGGATCTCAAGGTACGTGCTGGTGCGTATGGGACTAAAAGGTCAGAAAAAAGTAATTAATAAAACTTTAAAGTCTATTCCAAAACATACTGGGAGCCAGTGTAATGAAGCTAAAACAGGGGTGATGTGATCATATTTCTTTGTTCTGGTTAAAAGCCTAGCAGCTGAGTTCTGAACAGTCTGGAGTCGATCAATTATCTATATATGCTAATTACTCAAATTGGCTGACATGCAGTCACCCTTAATCTCATCTGCTATGCTATAGATGGAATATTAATTGTAAACATTCACAGGAAATAACATTGCTGGGTTTCATATAGGCCATATAAGGGTATCCATTAAATATGCTGATGGCATGTATTTTTAAACTTTGATTAAAATGGCTGATCTTTAAGTTGACTTTTTTGTCTTGTCTCCAGGCAGGAGACGTCCCAGTAGAATTTGAGGAGTTTCACCTGAGTGAGGTGCAGAACATGGCTAGTGAGGACAAGCTGGAGCAAGTGTTAACTTCTATGAAGAACAACAAAGTGGCCATGAAAGGTACAGCATCGAGTTATTTCAAAGGCTGCATGTACAGTACAGTATGAGGTTTTAGACTTAAAATAAATGTCCGTGACATGCTTGGTTAACCAGGAAAGATTCACACACCCATGGAGTTCAAAGGGGAGCTGGCTTCATATGAGATGAGACTGAGGTAAGACCAGGAAAAAAAAAGCTGTATTTTGTGTTTCGTTGTTGGTGTTGTTTTTTCTTTTCTTTTTTTAAATAACTCGACTTCCCTATCCGTTACCCAGGCGTAAACTGGACCTGTTTGCTAATGTGGTTCATGTGAACAGCCTGCCGGGCTACAGCACTCGCCACAACAACCTGGACCTGGTCATCATCCGCGAACAGACCGAGGGGGAGTACAGCTCCCTTGAGCACGAGGTAAACACTACTCTTACTCACTGCAGGCAGAAAATGATCTGTGGTTTTAAACCCACATGAGAAGGAAATGGGTGAGAGATTTCCCTTGAACACAGAGATTTGACCAACAATAAACCAAGTATCAAAACAAAGATGAGTCACTCGTGTGTGTGTGTCTTGTAATTCAGGATTTTATTTTTGAGCTACTACATAGTCACAGGAAAGACTTCATTCATTTCTACTCAGATAATGATTCTTTAGCTCTCCTTTAGACTCATCATAAGTGTTAATTGGCAGTGACACCTAAAGGACTTCAAGCCTAAAACAGTTTGCAGTATTACACCTGAAGCATGTGTGAAATGTGAGCAGCTGCCGTGTTGGCTGCTTGATTCATTGAAATTAAAGTGAATCTGTTCCATCAGACAGACTCGAAGAAAAATGCGTCTCCTGTAGGATAGGGTGGTGGTTTAATTGTCTCACACTGTGGATTAGTCAATGTTTAAACAAGAATGACTGTATTAAAACATGTATTGTTTCTTCTTGCTCTTTAGAGTGTGACTGGTGTGATTGAATGTTTGAAAATAATCACCAGAGAGAAGTCACGGCGCATCGCCAAGTTTGCCTTTGATTATGCCACCAAGAAAGGGCGAAACAAGGTCACCGCTGTTCACAAGGCCAACATCATGTAAGGAAATAGAAGAGAGCCCTCTTTGCTTTTTATCATTTAAATATATACATATGTGTGTTTGTGCAGGTTTTGAAATCATTCTTCTGTTAATTCCTAAAATGGTGTTAATTTGGGTTATAATTTGCATTACAGTTACAGCAACACTTGTCCTCATCCCCTTGTCTTATTACAGGAAATTAGGTGATGGCCTGTTTCTGCAGTGCTGTGCGGAGGTGGCGCAACTGTACCCCAAAATCAAATATGAGACTATAATCATCGATAACTGTTGCATGCAGGTACACACTCTCCTGACTTTAATAAATCATTTGCTGCCGAGGATTTTGCTTCACGTCTCCTTTCCCGGTTTGAACATGTCATTGTTTGTATTTCTTTGCTGCAGCTGGTCCAGAACCCATACCAGTTTGACGTGCTGGTCATGCCCAACCTGTATGGAAACATTATTGACAACCTAGCAGCAGGGCTGGTTGGAGGAGCGGGTGTTGTTCCTGGGGAAAGCTACAGTGCAGAGTATGCTGTGTTTGAGACTGTGAGTTTCCACTGACTGTTTTTAAATCTGTTTAGTCTGCTTTTATTCTGGTTCATGTGTTTAGAGTTTGATTTTCATACTTCAGTTACGTGTGTGGTAGAAAACATTAATACAAACCGCTATTGACATAGTGTTACTACTCAACCCTTCTCTGGTACTTGGTGATGAAGAGGAGTTGGAGAGGAAGAGACTACAGCAGTGTCATTCTTGATCCCCCTTTTTCTTTCAGGGTGCACGCCACCCCTTCGCACAAGCTGTCGGAAGGAACATTGCAAACCCAACAGCCATGCTGCTCAGTGCCGCTAACATGCTCAGGCACCTCAAGTGAGTCAACCTCTTAGGTCTTTTAGTAAGAAGGACATCATGTTTCACACTGTACCTCCTAATCCTCTGTTTTGGTCCACCACACCCCTCCAGCCTCAGTGCCTGTTAATCTGCATGTTGACACGTGTACATGGACACCTGTTTTAATTCTCATTGGCACTGTGTTGCAGCCTTGAATATCACTCCCAAATGGTGTCAGATGCTGTCAAAAGGGTCATCAAACAGGGCAAGGTAAGTGTGTAACTTGTTAGTTCTACCTGCTGTATGCCCACTGGTACATCCATGCTGTGAATGTGGAGACACCTGCTGTGACATAAACATGTCATGTAAACACTAACAGTATTATCACCAAGAGGGAAAGTTTTCTGCGAATACAAGTGGAGCAAAATAAAACCGGTGGTTCCACTTCAGAAACGTGAAGCCAACAGGACTTTTATTCGTGTCCGCTTGTGTTTGTAAACAGGCATGCAGCACATTAGGGTTGGGTGATGTGACGGTATATACCATGCAACTATAGAATATATACAGAAGTAGAGGCAATACAGTTTCCACCGCAGGAGCTATCCCTTTGTGTCTCTTCTATATATTTCGGGCTGGCAATGTAACTGTATCTATAAATTCTCGAAAATCCAGTTGCCTCCAAGTTCATTAGCCAACCGCCACAGGAGAAGAGCGTGACAAGAAAAAATGGATGAGGAGAGAGAAATTGTAAATATGGAGCAGGAGGCATAATCAAATGTTATGAAAGTTGTTTTAAGCCATTTCCTAATAGAGTTTACAGAACAATTAACTGTATTGTGATTTAATACTGTTACTGTGATATAAAATTACATATACCATGATAGATTTTGCCTGTAACAGTAATTTCATGTATACAGTGTCAAAAAGCTGCAGGCACTTAAGAAAATGAGAAATACAATAAAAAGCTGAATGGCAGGTAATTTTCAGTGTGTGTGTGACCCCGAACATCTAAGTGACACCAGCAATAACCAACAAGTGTAATGTTGGCAGTCCTTGACCCTCAAATGCCTACATCGAACAACCTGCAAACTGTCCTTTTTAGTATGTTAGAGAGCCTTTAATTATTTACTTTTGAGTGTGTGTGTGTGTGTGTGAGAGAATATGCTTTTGCATCTTACTTCAGCCCATCTCTTGCATTTCCATCATATGCAAGGTATTTTTATTTTATTTTTTTTGTCGTCTGGCTTGGAAACCTGCCTTTTGCGTCTGCTCCATGTTAACATTAGCATGCACTGACAAAACACTAGCATGAAGTCGGTAGACCTCAATCCCTCAGATAAAATTCAGCTCAAAAAAATTGGATTTCAGCAAGAACAGCTTCAGGACAGATTTCCCCCCCGCTCTCATTGATCCCCTCTAAGAGGTGGCAAAAGCCGGCGTTTCAGTTGAGGTGGCATTTTATTTGAGGCAACTGTGTGAATGTGAGAAATGACCCATTTTTAAGGAATGCCTGTCAGTTGAAAGCAGAATTTGCCTGCATGTTGTCTGAAGTACCCTTCCTCTCCCTCTCCCCTTTCCTGTAATTCCCTCCTGTCCTTGTACCCCACTATCCTGTGTGTCTGTGCACATCCCAGGTACGGACACGAGACCTTGGCGGGTACTCCACCACTGGAGACTTTGTGCAAGCTGTTGTGGAAAACCTGCACCACCGTCCTGTTTACTAAGATGTTCCATCACACTCGTCCCTGACATTTCTTTAAATCTGGAGATTGTTCTTAACATGAACTGGACGCATCTTAAGACTCACCTCCCCTCCCGCTGCCAGATGACATTTGTGGCGCTCCGTTTTTGCAAACGCCATGAGTTGCATCCTAATGTCTGATTTTTATACTGGATTTGCTGATTGATCCAGTGGGATCAGTGGTGCCTTGTGCTCATGAGGCATCCTTTCAGAGATTTGTCATATTGTTGTCTTCCTCGTAGCTTGTGTCCATCTCTTTGCTGTTTTTTTTTTTTGTGTTTGTTTGTTTTTTTTTTTTACTCTGCTGATTTAATCTTTTCACCCATGCAGGGATACCTTTTTGTCTGCCTGCTTTCATGGCCTGCGCTTGTTGTTTCAGTCTACCTCTCTGCCATCACAGATTGTGAGAAACTGTCTGTAAAGCAACCAGACTGCCTTTATCAACAGTTTATATCAGCTAATGTGCTTTTGGCTCACTCTTCACCACCACCATACCTGACTTTTATCTCATTTTCTGATAGCCTCTTCACTCAAAACTGAAACAACTGACTGCTTATGTTGATCAATATACAGTATGATAACACTGCTGCTTCATGACCCACTAATACTGCAACATACACGTTTCTTAATGTTTTTAATATTACTGCCATCGCAGTGCTGAAACTCAACTAAAACCTGAAAATGTTGCTGTGAGTTACTGTGTAGCAAAGGCAGAATTCATGTTTCTTGTTGTGATATTAATAATCCAGTTACTATTTTAACACTTAATATATTTAAACAGAATTTTCAAGGACTCCTATAAACAACTTTTGTATAAGATGATGCTGCTCATGCCACTGATGCTGTAAGAGTTCAAACAACTGCTTGGTCTCACCAGTTCATCTGTCATGCTTTTTGTATTACTGGCCTGCAATTTAGTCATTTTCAAAT